GAATCCCTTGAATACTCTGGTTATCAATTGTTTGCTATTCTTTGTATCACTCCTCTTTTCATGTTCTGCTTACTCTTTTCCTGGAGCTCTAATAAGATAGATATTGGACTTCCTGGGTCATGTATTTTGAGTTTTATTTCATAGTTTTCAGCACTTTACCTCTTCTTAATACATTTTAGGATAACTCCTCACCTCCATATTTCCATCCACTAAGTTAAGCTCTGTCCATTCTGCTATATCCCATCATTCAAGTATTTTCTTTCAACAAGTTAAATTTCCTTTTTCAATATTTTTGGGTAGACAGTATAGCCAAGTATTTAAGAACTAGAATTCTGGGGCCGGCCAAGTGGCGCATTGGTTAAGAGCTGGCTTGGGATGCCAGAGGGCCCCAGTTCGGATCCCACATATGAGGGCCTGTGACACTGCCCTCTACAGCTAAGATGCTGAACAACAGCTCAACATGGAGCTGGACTGCCATGAGTCGCTGGCAATGGCAGGTGGGTTGCCATGGACTGCCGTGAGCAGCCAGGAGCCAGCGTGAGCGGCCAGGAGCCACAGTGAGTGGCCGTCCAGAAGCTGGCGTCTGATCTGCCTCGCTTGGGAAGAGCGCAATGATGGTGCCAACTTGGGCCAGTGAAGCAACATCCTCCACAACTAGATTGAAGAACAAAAGGATAACAACTTGCCTGTTCCCCTTCCCCCAATTCCCCAATAAAAATCTTTAAAAAAAAAAAAAAAGAACTAGAACTCTGGAGTCAGGACCCTGGCCCTAGAATGGTAAGAGTTGTGGTAAGAGTTGTGGTGTGAGAATGAGAGACAAGGAATGTGAGCCTGTAAAAACAGCTTGTGTTAACTAACATCAAGGACATGGAGCTGAAAACTTGTTCTCTAAAATCATAGACTGAGAAACTTGGCTATTTGGAACCATATCAGTGAGAATGAAATATCTCACTCATATCTGAAGGCTGTGAATCATGTTGTTCTATAACAGAGATGCAGCCTCAGTTTCCAATCCAGGCACAGAGGTTCAAATAAGGGGTTTTCAGACATAACATTTCATATGTACCTTAACTTTAAATTTCCACGATAACAGGAACCGTAGGTCTGCTCCTTATACCAGACTGGATGTTAACCACTTTACACTCTGCTTTACTTTAAGCCTAACAAAACATGGCCTCATGCAAATTTTCCCTAAACTCCACCTTTCCTCAAAAACCCTATAATGACCCTAATCTTTCCCTGTTTGGTGAGAAGCTACATTTCTGCTTACCTTTCTTCCTTGCTGTAGCAAGTTGAATCAACCTAGCTTTCTGGGACCACAGGTGTGTTCCTGGTGGCTCCAGATGATGGGCTTCAAGAGGGGTCAGAAAGAGGTGAAAAGTGAAGGTAGAGTCCTGTGACGTTAGGTTCACTGAGTAGAAAAATGGAGAAGGTAAGATGGCTAGACCAGGCAAATGAGTACTAAGGAGAGAAGAACGGAGAAAAAGAAAGAAGAGAAGAGAGGGTGAATGGGGCCAGAAAAAAGGTTGAGAAGGAGACAGATGGTCTTCTAAGGAAACAGTAGTGTTATTCCTGATCAAGACACTGTGTGATGGTATCCTCTAAACCTTTGAGATGGCTATGAGAAGTGGAAGGAATTGATTGTAAGAATGTAGGTGTGGAATGTGGTGTAATAAAGTTGGTGTGGCCACAAGAGAAAAGAACCAGGCTTAAAAGGAAGTTTATTATATTCACAGGTCCCAGGAAGGGGGTTACCATATGCCATGCAGGGCCACAGGGGAAAGCACCAGTGTTGGTAAGGAAGCAGAAAGGAACAAGGGGGAGGCCTAGGCCACAGACTTCATTGGGGTTTCTTCAGGAAAAGCAAGACATGGCAGGGTAAACAGCTTAGGGTTGGTTAGTTTGAATAATTCTGGTGGGTTTGGGAGTACTGAGCTGGTACCTGGCCGTGGGATAATTTAGGGCAGGGACAATATTGGCTTGGTGTGTGAAAGTTAGATAAGGGTGTAATTGGGCTATAGGGCTATAGACTCAGTATTGGTTAGCTTGTATGTGAGAGATGTGCTCCCAGACAAACCCTTTCTTAATAATAAGAAAGGGCTAGCCATTGGAGGGGGAGTTTCCCCCCAGTCCCCAAGGCCCTTAAGTGTCAGAGAATCAGGAATACAGAAAATAAGTAAAAATAGTTAATATAATTGGCCCTGTGATTAATGAATATCCAATAGACAAATACAGAATCTAAGAAAACACAGAACAGGATCTAACTCCCTTACAGATTGTATTAGTTTGCTAGTGCTGCCATAACAAAGCACCACAGATTGGGTGGTTTAAACAAGAAATTTATTTCCTCACAGTTCTGGAAGCTAGAAGTCCAAGATCAAGGTGTCAGTAAGGTTGGTTTCTTCTAAGGCCTTGCTCTTTGGCTTACAGATGGCTGTCTTCTCCCTGTGCCTTCACATAGTCTTTCCTATGTGTGTGTCTGTGTCCCAATATCTTCTTATAAGGACACCTGTCACATTGAATTAGGAACCACTCTAGTAATCTCATTTTAACTTAATTACCTCTTTGAAGACCCTATGTCCAAATACAGTCACATTCTGAGATACTGGGGGTTTAGATTTCAACACATAAATTGGGGAGGACACAATTAAGCCCATAATACAGAGCTGATTTTGCATCTTGTGGAAACAAGGACCACCTTCTCTCATCCTGGGGGTGAGGTAGAACCAGAAAGCATCATTATCCACATCCTGAGAGTCTTGAAAGAGCCTTCATGGAAGAGTAGAAGCTGATCTGACAGAAAAGATATATTCCTATCACTATTTGGTCAGGAGGAGATATCCACCCAAACAAAAAATAAGAGTACAGGATCTAGAGAGAAGCCCACCTTGATTGAGCAAAGCAATCAACTTCCCTGAATCTTCATTGTTCATCTGAAAACAGAGACAGGAAAGCTTAACTCACAGATTCAAATGTTATAAATTTATAACTTTTCTTAATGTTAATAAGTAGGTGCTCAATAGATATTGGTCTCCTCACTTGTTCACACCCCACTCCATTCCAGGGATTTTGGAATTGAAGGAGAAACATTGTGTCACTGTTGGTAGGCTGCTCTGAGAAATTATGTAGCAAGGAGGAGGGATTGTCAACCCCTAGACCATGAACACCAAGGTCTTTATCTTGGATACATTCCTGAATCCCTCAACCTCAACTAAATGTAATGCAGACTTCATGGAACTGTTGTAAAGATTAGGTGAGGGCATTTCATATTGCCTAAAAGGCTTGGCCCAGAGAAGATGCCAAATAAATATTCGGGCTTTCTGCTCTCACCACACCCTTATCTGCAAAACATTCCATCCATGAGACTGAATTTAAGGGCCAGTATATAATATGATATACGATGAGTACCAAATATAAAATAGAAGTCAAGCTAGTAAAGTGTCAGGCATTGGACATCTTGGTGGGGTGAAGTCAGAATTCAGCAGATGGGTCCTAAAGGTCAGTAGGGAAGATTCTTCTGTACTTTGACATTGTAATGCACCTCAGCCATACCTACATACCTTTGGTTTCAGAAAAGAATTTTGGTCCTGAAACATCACTAAGTCTCCAAATAGGGCCTGGGAAAGAGGTTCTCTTAGTTCTGCCTGCCTTTGGTATGAAGTGAAGCCTCAGTGAGTTCATTCTAAGTCGTTGTTTTCAGAGTGTGCTCCCCAAACCAGCAGCATCAAAATGATCTGTCAAATTCTCAGGCCTACTGAATGGGAAACTCTGAGGGTGGATCCCAGCAACCTATGTTTTAGTGAGTCCTCCAGGGTTTCCGATACAACTATAGTTTGCAAACCACTGCTCTAAGCCCTTTGATTCTGAAGTGCATGCACATATTCTGCCATCACTCATGTGTAAAGAAGGTACCTTTAGCAAGTGGACATTTGCTACCAGTTCTCCAAGCATGTAATGACTTGTATCCAATCACATGTTCTTTGAGTTGTTCTTAGGACTACAAAAGCTGGCTGAGTCAGGGATGCAATGTGGGGCTTTTGGACTGAACAACACTGGTTCTGAATCCTCCAGAGTCAAACAATGCTGCTCCATTAACCTCACCCACAACTCCCTCATTCCATCCCCATCAACCTTCCAAGGCAACAGCACCTTATTCAAAGAGTTCCAATTCCCTCGATCAAATTCAAAGGTTAGAAGGAGTTTTCTTGGGATGGAATTGGAGGTCAATATTCAGAAACCTCTCTCCTCCAACTAAGTACATATATGTTTTTCTCCCAAGGTTTGCTTTTGTGACACAGGACAAGCTGCCGTGCAACTTTTAGGAGATGGTAACTTCAGCACTAGCAAAGAGTGGGTTCCAGTGTGTCCTTAAAGGTAGAAATTTCTCTAAGTAAACACTAATGCCTGGCTCAGCTACACAGAAGTAATCAATGTTCCCAGGTAGTTCAAAGGTCCTGGGAACAACCTCACTCTGCAGGGTAGGAGGCCTGTCTTTTCATTTTGAGTGTCATCCATATTTAAAGAAGATTGATTGATTGATTGATTGATTGATTGATTGACTGATTTATCTATCTATTTTTGCACGGTAGGATATGATTTTTTCAGTTCTATAAACTGAGCATTAATAAGCAATCACTCTGTCCCAAAGGACTCATCTTCCATTTGAGGAAAATAATTGCTCTTCCCTGCACTCCTGCAATTATTCTAGTACGGTTTATCACTTACTGGTCCCTGGTTACCCAAGCAGTTCAGTCTGTTCTAACAGGACATTATTCATTGAAGGTAGAGCTACTCATCTCATATTTACTAGAGATCTTGAAATAACTTTCAAACTTTACTACATTTTGTTCAAGTAGCTATACTCTGTTCTCAACTGTCTTGGCTCTTGCTTCTTCATCCATATCTTGTGCCAACTAAAGCTCACCACAGACATAGTCAGTATTTATCTAAAATCTCTAAAAACAGGAAATCTGGATGTTACAGTTTTTCAATGTGTTTATTTTTATCAAAGTAATACATTTTAATGTATGGGACTAAATTAAGCTTAATATAACATCTGTATGGCACCTATCATGTATCTATCTACCATCCCCTTTATAAAGTGACCTGTCACACTCAGAGGAGGTAAGTAGATGCTATAAGCACCAACGTCCCCATTTTTCAAAGAGAAAAATACACAGTTGAGACACAATAATTTACCATAATATAAAAAGTGAATCTGGCTAAGCAGAAACAGAATCCAAAATGATCTAGATACTTTGTGCCCACTCTTTCCACCAGCTTCCAATACCCTGCCTTTATCCTCTTAAAGCTCAAAAATACCACTAACTCTACATAAAACTGAGTAGGCTGAGTAATGCTAGCCATGTGAAATTCTCCACTTTCCCCTCTTCTCTGCCTACCTGAAGGGGACTATGAGGGCACATCAAATAGTGTTCTCTGGGTTTCCTTCCTTCCACAAGAACAAGCCATTCCTTCACCTGTTGAACCATTTTTCCACCCAGGAACTACTCTCAGCTCCATTGAACCTCAGGTCCCAGCTCTTTTCTAAGCTAGCCTGAAATCAGTCAATATTAACATTGTGACTTTTTCTTCACTTCCATAAGATTATATTACAATATAATTGGGATTTCACAGGTGGAATTAAAAAGAGTTAAATTTAACTAATTAAGTTAAATTTTAAAAAATTATCCCTAGGAAACAAACAGGTTTAACAAGAAATCTACTTCTCTTGGCTAATCTACTTCTCTTGAGCATTACCACCAGGAACAGAAACCACTGACGCTGACCTTGGTCAATGGATGATCACAAATCTAGACACCTGAGAAGAGGAAGGGCAGTGGTCACATGAATTCATGGAGAGGAGCATCTCAGGCTAATTGTGTTAGTGTTTCAGGAGAGCACAGCTGCGTTGAGACGACAGATGCCCCCCATGAGGCACATTTGCTGTATGATGTGACATAGAATCAGCTTCTAAACCTGTATGTCAACATCCACACCATGAGGAAGAGTGACATCTGGAAACATTTGTAATTAATAATAGTCACCAGGGTGTGTACTTTGTGTCACTACAAGAAAAGGTTAGTCAAGGGCCAGATTTACATAAAAATAAAGCAAGTGTTTATAAATAAATGCTATATCATTCATTCAGTTCACAAACATAGCTAAATGGCTTAGACATTCTAGGTACAGAAAATGATAAAACGAGTGAAATCCCAAACACAAGGAACCCCCAAAGAACATTTTTACAAAGACCAGAAAATCCCCTTGACTCTAGATTATCTGTTTTCCCCACTGGCCTGAGGCTGGTGCCTCGGTCCCTACCTTTGGGGTAAGCATTGATATTCCCAGACCTCTCCTTCAAAGAGCTAATACCCAGGGCAGGGACTCCAACAAACTCCCATCCTCAGCTTCAATGTGTTCATCAGTTTATCAGAATGATTTTTTCTTTGCCAGGAATAACTTGACAGGGATAAGATGATTGGGTGAAATTTTTTCTTTAAAAAAAAAAAAGATGAGGCAGATCAGATAGGGAAAGTGACCAGAACCAAGAAGACCACAACTCAAAATAATATTCAAGAGTCACAATGTTAACACGCTGAATCTACAAACTGACATCAGACATCATGAGGCTTCTGTTTCGTAGTCTGCCCTTTCATGAATGAGTAGACTATTCTTCTGAAGCTCTAATATGTACAGTTGACTGTGTCACACTGGCCTCAAATACATAAGTTAACAACAAATGAATGATTTTCCTCCAGCTAGACTGTAATTACACACGTACACATTTATCAACTGGGCAAAATTTACAACTGGTTGGTTTCCCTTCTACACCACAGAATGGGACTAAAGGGAGGCGGAGTAAAGAGTCTGGCCTTTATGAGCACAGTCTGCACCAAAAGGCAGGACTCAGGCAAAAAAAGCGTGGCAGAAGACAGCCACAGCCAGCAGGATGATGCCATTGATGTTCACTATTGTCCTCCATAAAGGCTTCTCAGAGGTGTCTGTCATCTTCAGCTTCATGGCTGCCTCCTCTTCCTTTGTCATTTTGGGACCCTTCTGCTGGTCCAAGCCACAAAACAGGTCATAGGCCTTCCTGAAGCATCCTTTTTTCTCCTCAGGAGCTTCTGTATCAGGGGAAAGGCATAAAAGGATTATTGAACACAGAAGCAGGAAGGACTAGAAAAGGTTTGCAGTGGAACATCTGCCATTCTGCAGATATTTCCCAATTTTCTTAATTACAGGAATAGAAATTATATAAAATAGTCAAGTGAACTTAATGACAAGATGATGTTAATAAACGTATTTTACATCCTTATGATCAGCTAGCCTACATTTTATCTCTATCAGGCCCAATGCAAATAAATACATTTTTATTTAGAACAGTCAAAATCAAACAGAAAATGATAGTTTATGAGAGACACGTGTTAACAATGGGTTGGGGAGCTGTAACACCTCTGAAACACATAAACATATCTTTTTGCTACATTACTGGAAAGCAATGAGAATTGCATGACTCAGAAGTTCACTGGCTATATCTGAAAATCCCAAGACTTCACAACATGTCCAACCATGTAGTAAGAATTGGTCTGAACAGTTCCTGATACAGAGCAGCGGTGACCAACAGTTTCAGGGCTTAAGATCTGATGTTGCATATCAATACTGCTGAATTAAACCATCCAAATGGCCTGCCATTCAAAATGGATGCCACCAAGGGAACTGAATCTCTCCTTTGAGCCCAGGTGTGACATTGATGGTAGACAGATCTGGGTTAGAATGTCAGGTCTGTAATTCTCTAGATATGAAATTGATCCCACTGTGTTTTCAGAACCATGGTCAGGGACCACTGCTCTCCATTCTCCCATTTTTAAGTCGCAGAATTTTAGAACTGGAAAGAACCTCAGTGGTCAAGCACATATGTGTGTCAGAACTAGAACCAAAAACACAGTTTTATGACCTTGTTAATTCACCTATCATTGTCTGTATCTGTAAAATTGGAAAAATGCCTTCTTCATTGTAAGATTGAATGAGAGAGCATCCAGTGCATAGTAGGTGTCAAGAAGTGTTAGTCTCCTCCTAGTTTCTCTTTTCTCTCACACACATAAAAGAGACAAGCCTCCCTGTACCACTCTACTTTGGTCTGCTTCACCATAATAGGAGAATGGGGAAGAAGTAACAAAGATTTGGGCTCACAAACAGCCCAAGTGAAAAATTCATGGTTGCCTGGGTCACTAAAAATTTGAGTGGCCTTGAGAAAGTCTGTAGACCTCATTTTACTCATCTATAAAATTGGAAGAATTATACTTGCATTACCTGCTTTAAAGGGATAATGTGGCACCAAAAGGAATCACTAGACTAGAGTGATTAAATTAATTCATAATTTAAACATATTATAATCACATCATTATTTGTCATGATGATGGTGGTGGTAATGATAATGATATAAGGGTGAAACCTCATGCTGTTTCTCAGAGAATGATGAGGATGATACCCATTGTCTGTAAAAGTCCTCTAGAGATCTTAGTTTATTGTACTTTAAGGGCAGGGTGTCAGTATGATTTCACCATGAGCTCATAAAGAAACAACAGAATTCCAGTGCTGCCATAAACCTCAGAAGTCACTAAGCTAATTCTCTAGCCAGCGTGGGAGTCCCCTTTAAGCATCCTTAATAGATGTACACTTGCCACTTACCCCTTTCCAGCCAAACTCAAAAAACTCTTCCTTAGTTGCAACCATAATGGTGATAATTATTGCCAATTCTATCATGGAGCATTATTTCATTCAATGTTTCCAACAGTGCTATGAAGTATAGGCTATCATTTAGAATACTTTTATGTGAGAAGCCTGAGCTTTAGAAACATTTGCCCAAGGTAATAAGTAGAGAAGCCAGGATTCAATCTCAGTTCTTCCTGAATCCAAGTCCCATACTCTGTCTCTGCACCATCCTGCTTCCTTACTTTGAATTAAAACTAGATGAGTTCTTTCCAACCACTAGTCTTAACTTTGTTCTCTAGTGTGAAACTAACCTTTTCTTCCACATTAGAACATTAAAAACACTCTTCATCTATGTCCCTTTAAAATCTATGGTATTCTCACTCAATGTGGGGATATTTTTGGAGGTGGGAGAAATAGGGGGTATGTTCACTCCTAACTGTTCTGGGAAGCAGAAAGGTGCTGCCTTTCAGCACCATGGTAACCTGCCTGTGGCTCCAGGCTCCTTCCAGCACTTGTTGAGTCACAGGTTTCATAACTGAAAGGTCTTTAGAGATCAAAAGCAGATTGTATCAGAGCAGGGACCATCCATAGGCAAAGCCTCTCCATTCCAAGACCTAAATTTACAAGTCTGTCAAATGAGATGATACGACCAAATGATCTTAGGGCCCTTTCTTGATTTAGGATTCTATGATATCCCTGGTGGCCAGATTCAGAACTTGTTCGGCTGTATATGTGCTCCCCTTCAGATAGAATGATGAAACCTTCAGCCTAGTGCCAGGTAAATTACATATGACATTGAGCTCCCACACCTCTGTACACCACACATCTCCACAACCATCCTCTACATAGAGAAAAAGAAAAAGAGGTTGCAACACAGAAATTGAAGAAATTTCTCCATGATCAGATAAGTCTCTGACATTAAGCATTATCTCACTGGACTTCCAGAAAAATTCTATTTTCTAAATCTGATGTGGTAAACCAGCAAGACATAAGATCCCAGAGCCTCTATTCCATCCCCCTGATATTAGCTTGGTTACTAGACCTGACCATAGCTTTGATTCTATCTGCTTTCAACTCACGGGCTAGGTCAGAAGACCTCTAACTCTTTTCTTGTCCCTGGCCATGCCCCAAATCAAGTCAAGGGGGCAAATTTCTCACCCACACTTAATCACTGGGCATTGTAAAGTATAAGTGGTGAGGGGGCTGTGATGATTCTGTACCTCTCTCCTCCCCTTAACCAGGCTTCAGAGTGAACATCCTAAAACCTATTTATTCATCTTGCCCTCATCCGGCTCCCCACTCCCTTTAGGAGAGAGAGCTGAGCTTTGATGATGGCATTTAGTGAAGGCTTCAGTAGTGATCTAGTTGTTGTAGGAATAAATTTTTAGGGCTCAGGAATAGGCTCTGAGTCAAAAATCACCTATTTCAATGGTCTCCTCTGGGGCTTCATGGATGTCCTCTTCTCCTGCATCTAGGTCAACACGTTCCTCTTTGCTGTTGCGCAGGCTCCAACACAGGCGGTAGAGCTGTGGAGAAAGCAGAACAGGTTAGCAGAAGGATTCAAACACTGTCTTGGGCCAAGAAGTTAGGAGAACAAAGAGATATGCATCAAGAAGTTTCTCAGTACCAACAAGAGCATAGATAACAGTTTCCATCCATAGCATTATATCTAAATATGTTAGGAACTTAGATGTAAATCATTCATACACATATAAACATTAGCCCTTATGATACATGCACGTTCTGAGGCTAAGAGGCTGCCTTGAATACAGAAATGTTTTGAATGAATGAACACTTGCTACATATGATAAATGAATCTTTTCCTTTTAGCACTGGAGCTCTGAAACAAGACTAGACACCTATTTGTCCAGGTCAGCAGTGTAAGATCAGATTTTTGCATTTGTGTTTATCATATAATGGGGGGAAAGCCTATAGAATAAGGAGCCACTTAGAACAAGGAAGAGCTGGAGGCACAGTCTCTATTGCCATGAAACCAGAAATTTAAAGTCTAAAAATCAATGCAGTGTGTTCATCCCAGCCATGCCCTCTTTGGTGACTACTTTGCTTTCTCTACTCCAAGAGGATGCATGGAGGTAAATATGTTTGGGGTTGCAACTCAGAGACAGGTATCAGGAAGCAATTAATACAACACAAAGAAAGCATGTGACAGATTTGGCCAATAAACATGATGGTGGTTCTGCTGCTATAAGAGCAGTTTTTGTTGGTCACAGCTTTGAAAATTTAGCAATGAGGCTGAAGGTCTCTTAGGGATTTCTTAAATCCCTGTATTTGTGTATGTGTGAGTAATTGGTTAACTAAACCCTTTCTCTTTCTCTATGGACAAATATGATGATCATGGGTTAACTCTCCAGCTCTGTTCCTTGGAAACCTGGAAAGGGCAGAATGTCAGTTGTGCTGGGTTACCAGGCTATATTGCTTATGGTAAAATTGGCCCATAATTGTTCATCATCTGCATTGGGAAGATTGTGAATATACCCTAAATCAAGGGCAACATCTAGAGATAAATAAGAATACTTGCCATTTTTGAAGTCTTGAGGACTTTGATATTGTTTGAAATTTCTTGACTTCTATGGGCAATTGTTTAGATGCTTAATTGGGAAAAAATAAAGGGCAACTGATACTTCAGATTTCCCTGTATGTGGTGATTTTCGAAACTTGGTATGTCCCCTTCCTTCTAGAATCCCTAGAAGTTCTGACCATGAGACTGTTACAAGAAACATAAGTGCCTGCCCATGTGATCTCATTCTCTTGTACCTGAGCTGTCACTTGGGGAGCATGATTCACAGAATATATACCCTGGACTTAAACGTGGACTTCTGTGAGGACTCCCACTGAAGACACATGCTTTATACTGCCCTGCTGGCACACAGTTTCCTATCCTGCTTCCTTCTACGTGGCACCAAGACTAAGTACAGACTATTTTAGTCAGGTGAGTGTAAGATGTCTAATCGAACCAAGGGCAACCAAAATGGTTATTGCAGTATGAATATAACAAGGGCAGGATGGGTCTCCCAAATGGATACTCACATGCACATCTGGAATGGGCTTAGTGAAGAGGGAGATGACCACAATGATGATGATAGAAATGACAAAAAGGATAATGGCAAAGTACAGATAGTGCACACCACAGATAATCGTTGGGCAGTTGCTGGGCTCCATGCAGCTCCCGGTTCCATAAGCAAACTCAGCAATCATACGGGACACCCCGATCAGAAATCCTATGATCAGTCCCCAGAAGGCTCCCTGTGAAAGAAAACTTTTTTGTGATGCTGAACACAAAAAAAAAAACAGCTGTGCACTCCTGAGGGACAGAGACAAAAGAATAAAGGTGTGATAAATGATAGCTCTGGGTCATCTGAAGCCAGAACACTAGAGTTCCGAATATGGCTAGGAGTGTTATGTCAGGCCTTCAGTGGGTGTCATGTTTATCATGTGTCAATGATGTGATTTTACCTGGGTCATAAGACAAGGATTTATAATAGAATAAGGTAAAGTGACTAATAACTTGTTAAAATATCAACCCAGAGACTTAATTGCAAAAATTCCCTTTAACTTTAAAAATAATTTGAATCTCTCTGCTTGCAGCTACTATTACCATTAGCCTCCAGATTTAGGTACATTCAGGTATAGAGTAATTACTTGTGAAGTAATTTGTATTCTTCGAAGACATAGAAAAAGAAATCAGGTTTTTGGGGATAGAGGAGAAAGCAACTTTTCCATCAGCCCCTTTTACAACTCCAAAGTCACTGTTTTTAATTTGTGAATATAAAATTATACTATGTGTTTTTATACTAAATCTTGGGTTTCCATATTAGAACTACAGAAGACTTTAAGAGACTAGAAACATTGTGGGACAACTTTTCAGGGTTGGTTTTTTTTTAACCCTCCATTCCTCCCTCCCTCCTTTCCTTCTTTCCCTCCTTCCTTCCTTACTCCTTCCTTCCTTCCTTCCTTTCTTCCTTCCTTCCTTCCTTCTTTCCTTCCTTCCTTCCTTCCTTCCTTCCTTCCTTCCTTCCTTTTCTCTTTCCTTCCTTCTTTCTTGTCAGTCTTCACCTAGAGGACCAGGTCTGAGTCTAGAGGCCACATTTTAAAAGGACCAGTGACAAAGTAAAGAGAGCTTATAGAAGGGGGCTATAAAGAGCCTTCATGATTTTGTCAAGGGTAGATCTGAATAGCTTCCTTGTTAGCCATCAGTACCCCTACCCTTTGTATTCCAGGTGCACTAAATTACCAGCTATTCTTAAATGTGACATCTATGTTCATGTCTCAGGCCTTACAAAGGTCATTCTAGAGTGAAGGGAAGCGCAGGCTCTTCCCTTCTTGGTAATTTTGTTCTAACTTGAATGTCCCCTCTCTTTCCCAGACAGAGCTGGGTCGGCACATCGTCCTGGCTATGACTGCAGCACTGTGGACACACCTCCATGCCAGAGCTGACCACACTGCTATGTAATCATGCATTCATTTCTCTGTCTCCCATCTGAACTGCGAGCTGGCTTAAGGAAGGAACTTTGTGGTGCTAGTGCCTGGCCCCATGTCTGGCATTAGGAAGTGTCTGCTAGATGAATAAATGAACAAGGAAAAATGAAAACATGGGTGTTCACCATTCATCCTCCATATGCTATTCAGTCAAAAAATTATTTCTTGACTTTAGTTTGTGTAAATAGTATCAATATAACTTGCTAAGGCTTTCCTTCTCTTTTGGCAATTAGCCTCTTCTTATTCCTTTAGTCTTTATTGTTGAGACACTCTCAAAAAAAATCTGAAAAACTTTGACATTTTCCTCAAGACTTAGAGCTAACCCTCAGCAAACACAGTGCCTGACCAGTTCTGAGAATCACTTTGCAGTATCTACATGCTACTCTCTGAAGATTCTAGGTTGATGTTTCTCACCCTCCTTACTGTGACATTTAGGCTGGATAATTCTTTGTTGCAGGAATGAGGCTATCTTGCATATTATACAATGTTTAGCAGCATTCCTAGGCTCTACCCACTAAATACCAGTATAACCAAATCATAACAATAAAAAATGTTCCCAGACATCATCAAATGTCCCTGGGAGAGGGCAAACTCACCCCCAGTTGAGAACATCTACCATCTATCCCAATCCCAATTCTTAGCCTTATTTTCTGAAAGCCCTGGTCCATTGCTGAGTTGAATCTGCCTGTGGTCCACCACAATACCCAGCTGGGTTTCTGGCCCCATGTTCCTAGCTTGTATTTTAGAAATCTCTCAATGAACCAGCCTCTGCCAATCCCTACTGAAACTTATCCCATTGTGTACCCATTTCTCTAACCTGTATATATCACTTTCAGGTTCAATTCTGATGTCTCGGTGGTATTGACACACTGTGTTTTGTGTCACCATGGAATCTGGACTATCTTCCTAATGGCAAATGTTGAATGAAGAGAGACATGTAGTGATTACATGGGTCACTCCATGGAGTGATTTCCCTGGTATGTATTTGTTTCTGTCTTATTGGGAGAAAGGGGTTGTCTCCAACCAAATATATGTGATCCTTTACAGTGTTTCAGACAAAGAACTATAGTCAGCATCCCCACCCTTCCCCAACCTTCCCCAGGCATAGAGATGGTTGAATAAAGAGACAGCTGAGCAACACACTAGTCAGAAGGCATAGCCAAAGGAATCTTTTTCATAGTGCTTCAAAACATGTGATGGTGCCCCCACTGATGACCCAAAGTCTTTAGCCTGGCTTTCAGAAGGGCCAGGCCTAACCTCAACTCAACCTGCCTCTCCAGTTGTGTCTTTTATTATCCACACACACAAACTTCCTCTCAAGCCAGGCAAGATTTCTGACAAGTATCTCACCTTCATCTCTGTCCTTCCACTTCCATCTCCGAGTTCTGTGCAATGCTGTTCTTTCTGCCTTGAATGTCCTCCCTTCCCTCTCAGTTTCAACCCATGCTGATGTAGTCTTTCTAGGAACCCCTCTCTACTAGTATTTCATGCCACGTTTTATCCCTCAATTGTTATCTACCTTACATTGTTTTGCATATAAACTGCTTGAGCACCAGAAGTTTGTCCTTCACGAGGCCCTGAAAAGTGCTGGCTGGAGAGTCGAGCTCTCTGCAGGTGGAGGCCTGTGCTAGGACTTCCTCTGGAGCTGCTCACCCAGAGGCTACAAACTTCCCAAGGAATATCATGCAGTTAATAAAAACTCACCAAGATTAGATGGAAAATGTATGTCATTAGTTAGGAATTAGTTTGGAACCTGCAACAAGGAGGAGGGGGAGTCCAAGAGAATGTAAACCCATGAGAGTCCCATGGTCCCTGGAAGAACCCTCAGAGGCACATCCATTCCAGCCTGAGACCTCTGGGAAATAGAATCCCTCCCACAGAGAATATGCAAATCCAGGTGGGAATTTCTGTGCCAGATTGGGCTATTCTGGACATACATGAATGACACCTACCTGCTCATTGACTCTCTTGCAGAAAATAGCAAGCAGGAAGACAGCTGCGATGGGTGGTCCCAAGTAACTGGTGATGGACTGGATGTAATCGAAGAGCTGCCCACTTTGTGCTGACTGCACAACGGGCACCCAGGCAATGCTGATGCCAATCAACACCAGGATGAACAATCTGAAATCAAACCCCCACAACAGAGTGTCAATAAATAACTCTACATTAATAAATATATATAGCTGTGCATCATATATATATGTATATATATATATATACACACACATATACACACATACACACACACACACATATATATAACTAGCAAATATATACACATAAATGTGTATATGATATGACCACAGCATGGAAACATAATTAGCAAATTCATTCTTAAGGCTTTTTTCTTCTGTATTCTGCCTCCTTGGGAAAGTCATCTGTGCCTATGAATAAGTGAAATGCACTTGGCTTTCAATAACCTAGACTTGTCATTACCATAACAGAATCCCACTTTGAGAGACAGTAGAATGTGGGAACAAGGGTGTGGACTTTGGATGTAGGAAGTCCTGGATTCAAATTTTTATTCTTTCTGTGTGACATAGGACACCTGGCTTTACCTCTCAGTCTCAATTTCTCCATCTGCAGCTGGGAATACTATGACTGAACTTGCAAGGTTGAAATAAGGATTAGCTATAGTAAAACACCTAGCAAATAGTAAGCACTCAATAAATAGTAAAAACTATCATTATTATTTTCTTCTCCTTCTACTTCCCCTTCTCCTTCTTCTTATTCATAATAAAGTTAAAATCGTAAGTCAAGAAGAGTTTATAAAGAACCAGTAGAGTGGCGCAATGGTTAAGAGCTGGCTTGGGATGCCAGAGGGCCCCGGTTCGGATCCCATATATGAGGGCCAGTGACACTGTCCTCTACAGCTAAGATGCTGAACAACAGCTCAACCTGGAGCTGGGCTGCCGTGAGTCACCAGCGACGGTGTAGGCTGCAGCCCCTGCTGCAGTGGGCTGCCATGGGCTACCGTATGCAGCCAGCAGCCAGCGTGAGCAGCCAGCAGCCGCAGTGAGTGGCCGTCCAGAAGCCGGCGACTGATCTGCCTCGCCCGGGAAGAGCACAATGATGGTGCCAACTTGGGCCAGTGAAGCAACATCCTCCACAACTAGACTGAAGAACAAAAGAACAGCAACTTGTCTGTTCCCCTTCCCCCAATTCCCCAGCGCTGTTCCCATCCCCCAATTCCCCAATAAAAATCTTTAAAAAAAAGAAAGAAAGACATGGTCTAGATAGAAAGGGATTTCTATCTCTCCTCCTGTTGAGTTTCACTTCAAATCCTGAAAAGATTGGCGGGTTCCCTGACTAGGCCTCTTATTTGTGCTCTTGATTTAATTAGAAAGAAGGCTGTGATTCCCTGGTCCCATTTACCTCAATTTAAGGCAAAAACAAGTCTGAAACTAACCTTCACAAAGCAGTGTTTTCACTCACATATTTCTCCCTCTGGAATGTTCTTCCCACTGCCCCCCACTCACCCAAATCCTACCCACCATTTTGGACTCAGCTCAGGGTCTCCTTCCACCAGAAGCCTTCTCCAACTACTGCATGCCATGCTCACCTCTCCCTTCTCTGAACACTTGATCACTCTTACAGTCCCCACAGCAAAGTTCAGGATTGTTTTCTGTAGCTGTAAACTTATCTAGGCAAGGGATAAGTCCCAGGGCAGCAGTCATTGGATGCACAAAAATGTTAGCCCCAACATAACCTCAGGGCCAATGGGTCTAGCCCTGAGCAGAGCAACAAAATGGTTTCCTTCCCATGTTGCATCCTAAGCCTTATAAATAACAGAAAAGCCAGTAAACTCCTTCCTAAGGAAAAATTAGTCAGGGTAATGGTGCTGCTTCCTGTGAAGCACAGTAGTAGACTCTTTCCCGGTCAGACCTCTCCTGAACGCCAGATGTCTTGTCACCTGAGAGTGATCTATCAGTTTTCCCTTCCTTCCTTTGCCCTATCTTGATCATGACACCTATGAGGTGGCATACCCTTCCTGCACTCACTGAGAACCTCTCTTCTGACTGACATCCCAGAGATTTGTTCCACCTGCCCTGAGGAGGCTGACCTGCCATTGCCCCATGGAGAAACATTGCAGAGTTTCTGTTAGTCTTCAATCCAGACCAAGTGCTCCATGGATAATCATGATGATTAGCGTACCTGACCCATGTGTCAATGCTTACTGCTTTCCGTATCTTATTGTGTCCATTAGCCCATTGACAATTACATGTGCACATAGCCTGGTGTTTTAGACTACAGAAGGTGTTCCCAAGCAAAATATCTCTTGATCCTTAAAATGATCCTGCAAAATGTTTCAGCCAAGGGTCAAGGCATCAGAGGCGTCTGGACCTCAGAGATGGCCAGTGAGGAGAGCTGCAGTGTGGAGGGCTGAGGAGGACAGCATGGGATGGTATAAATAGCTTTGGATAAGGACTCAGTTGGCTCTGAGTTCCAGTCCTGGCTCTGCCATTGTCCCAGCTGCCTGTCTTTAGGCAGAATGAGCCTCATTTTTGTTGTTGATAAGCTGAGGGTTAGATTAGATGATCACTGATGTCACATCTCATTCCAGAGGGGCATTGTTTGATGATCTCCAATTTAAAGTTAATGCCACTAACGAATAATAATAATAATAATAATAATAATAAAATAAAGTTAATGCTACTGAAGGGCAAAGATAACTAGCCACAGAGGTTACTCTCATTCTACCCAAGTATCTACCAGCCTTCCTTAGCTTGAGTGAAGCTCTCTGATCATTCAAGCTTTCATGGTGCATGGCAATGGGGAGCTGCATTTACCTTCCTGCAATCATGAGCTCTTTCTCGGTTGCTCTCCTCCGGATCTTGGTGTAGATGTCCATGGTGAAGAGGGTGCTGGCACTGTTAAAGATGGAGGTCAGGGAGCTCATGAGGGAGGCCAACATGACTGACAGCATCAGACCTCGCAGTCCTGGAAGAGAAGGGGATTCTGAGTGGCACACACAGCACCTTAGCAATTTTGTACTTATAAAATATGAGGACTCAAGGTTTATTTGTCTTCTGAAACCACACCATGGTCTTCTACTTATCTCTCCAGAAAGACTGGGCATTTTAAGGAATGTACTGTGGCTTTACATTATATTCTAAACTCATAGCTGTCAACAAAGATCTAGGGACAAAATATATATGAGGTAAATACTTTGTAGTTGGATCATTATGCTGTTGCTGGTGATGGTGATGGGATATGTGTGTGTGTTTCCATCTGAGGGGACTTTTATAAGGTCTCCCACACAAAAGATTCATAATATAGCAGAAACATTTAAACTAAAATTCAAAAGATGATATTCTCAAGAAAATGAAAATACAACCCATTGAATGGGTGAAAAATTTTGCACATCATATATCTAATAAGGGTCTAGTACACAGAATATATAAAGAACTCCTACAACTCAATAATAAAAAGACAACCTGATTAAAAATGGGCAAAGGGTCTGAGTAGACACTTCTTCAAAGAAGATAAACAAGGGGATAATAATCACATGAAAATATGTTCAACGTCAGAAAAATTCAAATCAAACCTACAATAAGATGTTACTTTGCACCCACTAGGGTAACTATAATAATAATAATAAAGACACAATAGTAAATGTGGGTGGATATGTGGAGAAATAAGAACCCACATGCATTACTGGCAGTAATGTAAAATGGTACATCCATTGCTGAAAATAGTCTGGCATTTCCTCAAATAGTTAAACATATGACCTATTAATTCCACTCCTATCTCTTGGACAGTCCTGGCTAATCTGATATATATATATATATATATATATATATATATATATATATATATATATATATATATATATATACATATATATCTTTGGACACATATGCTACCCAACAGAAGAAGTCTTACCCTTTACCCACTTTACCATCTTTCACATATCCAAAAAAACCTCATGTCCTCTTAAACTCTCTCTTCTCCAAGCTAAACATCCTCAGTTTCTTGCACTATTTCTGTACAATTGGGTTTGGGGGACCCAAATACATAAAATTTGACATAGATCACTATTAAAGTTCAGCTTGTTAGGAATTGACATTCCTGCCTTTTGAGATCTTTTTGGAACATGATTCTACCATCCTGTAGGTTTTATATCTGTGAATAATTTTATAGTTTCATCTACAGTCCTGCAAGATGAGTGATCAAGGCTGCCCATTCCAATTATTTTGTCATTTGTCAAGAGGATTTTTTAAATGGCTCCTCCTGAGTTCCTATAACATAGATCACAGACTACTGGAGATACAGAAGGTATTATAAAGATCATCTAATCAAACTGTCTCATGTTTCAGTTGATAAAACAGAGGTCCATTTCAAGGAGTTAGTAGGTAGGGCTTCGAGCTCTGCCTCTGCCCTTTGCTTCACCAGTTAATTGTTGAGTTGGGATACAGCTCTCTCCTTCTATACCAAACTCTTATCAAACTCCCGTTTGCTTATTCACTCAACAAATACTTGTTGAATATATTTTACAGCAGTCCAGGCAAGAAATAATGGTATATCAGAGTAAGATGATGAAGGTAAAAAATAGAGATTAATGAATATGAGCTGTTTTAGGAGGCAAAATGGACAGAATTTCCCCACCAAGTGGTGGGGAAACATTTACTGGCTGAGTAGAGGAGGATGAATCTACAAAATAGACAAAAGGAGCAGCTGAAAAGAATGAGGGGGGAAAAAGACAAACAGAAGAAAATCATATTATGGAATCCAAGAGAAGAAAACTCAAGAAAGATGAATGATCAATAATGCTGAATGCTACTGAGGAGTCAAGTAAAATGAGGAATGGAAAACATCTATTTGACCCAGCATCAGGAGGTCATTGGGGAATTTGGTGTTTACAGAAGCCAGATTCCAGCTGGTAAAAGAGTGGTAATGGCACAGATGAACACAGCATTCATTGTCCTGCATGCTATGTCTCTTTCTATAGTGTACAATCCACTCCACTCCAACACAGTGTGCAGAGCAACAGTCTTCACCAAGGGTCTATCTGCCAATCTAAAGAAATACCATAAACACCCCCCAGAAGATAGTGTAAATCCAAGCCAGAACTCTACAAGAGCCATGTGACACTTACTAATTGCAACCTCAATTAATAAGCAGCCCAGCTCAATGAATAGTTAACTATTACTTCCACATTTATAGAATTTAAATGCAAATGGTTTGCCCAAGGTCTTGCATCCAGTCTATGGTTTAAAACAAGTTTTTTTTTGGGGGGCCGGCCAAGTGGCGCGATGGTTAAGAACTGGCTTGGGATGCCAGAGGGCCCCGGTTCGGATCCCACATATGAGGGCCAGTGACACTGCCCTCCACAGCTAAGATGCTGAACAACAGCTCAACCTGGAGCTGGGCTGCTGTGAGAGTCGCCGGCGATGGCGTAGGCTGCAGCCCCTGCTGCAGTGGGTTGCCATGGGCTACCGTGTGTGGCCAGCAGCCAGCGTGAGCGGCCATTAGCCACCGTGAGCGGCCGTCCAGAAGCCGGCGACTGATCTGCCTCACCCGGGAAGAGCGCAATGATGGTACCAACTTGGGCCAGTGAAGCAACATCCTCCCCAACTAGACTGAAGAACAAAAGGACAGCAACTTGTCTGTTCCCCTTCCCCCAATTCCCCACCGCTGTTCCCATCCCCCCAATTCCCCAATAAAAATCTTTAAAAAAAAAACAAGTTTTTTTTTAAAGACCATCCCAAATTCCTCAATTCCAGCCTTAAGCAGAGTTATGTCAGCCAGGCATTGAGTTGCTGTGTGACTTGGAAAAACCACTTTCCTTCTGCAGGTCTCAGTTTCCCTAACTGTAAAATGAAGATGTTTGACTAGGTAATCTCTGTGTTTCCTTTCAGTAATAAAATTTTATATATGTTTATTCTAAATTTTCCTGATCAATACCTTTGAATTTTTGGTCTCTTGAGACCCCTTAACCTAATGAGATTTGCACCTCCCCTAACTACTCCAGACTCTAAGTTCTCAAGTTCCAAAGATAACATATTCTCTATAGTGAGAAGACCCCATCTATTGACTGCCTCAAATGTCCTCATTCTAGAGCTAAAACCACTTCTTGCTTTCTCTCCATGTTTTTTGCTTGAAACAGTCTAGAAGTCAATTCATTCTCCAGGTAAAACTCCACATATTTCAGGCTGTCATGTTAATGTTTGTTGGAGAGCTACGAAAGACCTTCCAGATGAGCATGGAAAAGTCATGTTTTTCCCTAACACATTTCAGATCATTTCCTTTCCAGGCCTGACTGATGGACAAGTGCCAGATCTCAGAAGGCCCAACCAAGCCCTATGTCTCCTTCCCATTGAGGAAAGACATGGTCAAAAACTGAGGACATCTGGAATGAAGCTTTCCCTACAAGAAAGACCCTTCCAATGGAGACAACTCTCACCATTGGGCATGAGCTCCACCACCAGGGTGGGGTAGGCGATGTTGGTACAGCCAACCTTGGTGCCGCAATATTTCTCACACTCTGAGGGGAGGACGCAGGCAATTTTTTCTGTGGAGAGATAAAAAGTCACGTCAGCAAACAGACATCAGGGAAAAATTTTTAAGATTCACCTTCTTAAACAAGACTTCAAAGAAGACATTCATGCCCAAGGCCCAGAAATGGTTCCACAAAGAGTACAGCTCCTGGATGAGCCCTTTGATGCCATGTCCCTGCTCCCACTGGTCATGACCATTCCCAGGCTTTGACTAGGGAAGAAAGACAGCTCCTAGTCAGAGGAAGGGGAAGCAGCACAGAAATGCTCAGCATGGGAAGGGAGTTGAGCACAGTACTTAGACTTTAGCCAGCTACCCCACAGCTTAGCAGTAACTATTGTCTTGTTTGCCTGAAGATCACAGTGACTCATGGTTCCTAATTTTGAGATTTATTTGAGGCTTAAGCAGCTCTCGCAAGTAGGGTTGAATGCCCAGAAAACTGAGGGAAATCCCTAGTGGGAGAGCAGTTGGGTATTATTTCCATAATGTGGATAATCTGGAGTAGAGATAGAAAGGAAGTAGTCTGGGAGGGGGAAAGAACATGATCTAGAGACTTGGAGAAACATCTAGAAACTTCTATAGAATTCTATACAATTCAAGTCAACGAACATTTATTAGGTACCTGCTACAGGTATTTCATTTAGTGCTGCCTTTATAGCACTCATTCATCTCAAATATTTGTGTGTGTGTGTGTGTGTGTGTTATAGCCATTGTAATGTAAACGATTCAGTTAGATATACTTATTCATGACAGGCAAGCCTGTATAAGAGTGTGAGGGCGCTATTAGGAGCATGCAGCTAATGGTAACAAGTGCCCCAAGACTGCCTTGTCTTCATTGTAGAGAGTGCTCACCAACTTTCATTCTGTGGTGCTCTCTTTTTTGCCATTATTCTATATTCCGTGAAAGTTTGGACCTATGATGGCTGACCCAAAAAATGCATGCAACTGGCAATGCTGGAGAGGCCACAAAAGGGCCAAGGAAGAATCTGTCACCCTAGAGAGCAATGTGCAAACCTCGGGAGTCCTTCAAAAGAAATGGTCCAGGAAACAGGGCTCAGAGCGGCAGATACTTAGAGACTGGCTGGGGTCCTCTGACATTAAGGACATTGTACACAGCCTGCATGAGACTAAGCAAGAAGTGAGCAAGTATTAGCTGGAAGAAGCCACAGCTAAAGGCATATCATGACTTCAGAGAATTTGCAAAACGAGGGAAAGCAATTGTCAACGTGAGAAACCAAGGAAGGCAACTCCACGGGTTCTGTGACCTCAAGTGGTCCACACTATAGAGCAGCAGTTCTCAACCTTCCTAATTCCGCAACCCCTTAATACAGTTCCTCATGTTGTGGTGACCCCCAAC